TTTGCAAATAATTTAAGACTATGTCTACATTTTAAATTTACCATACGAGCTGCTTCCTACATGAGAACCAGTGTAGCCATATCTGTGCTGTGTCATGAGCATGTGAATTAGCCAGGGATGCAAACTAATTGGCTTTGTCTCTCAGTGGTGCTAACTAGCCCACTCAAAGCACTGCACAAGCATGACTACCTTGTCTACAGCCATTGTAGGATGTAGCCTGTGCAGAATGGTGGGGTGTTGAGCATGCTGTTGCTGGTGCAGTAAACCTACTGTCTTGACATTACCTAAGTAACTTAAGAGTCTAAGTTACCTATGCTTTCAATGGGGCTCAGGCTTCTAACTCATTTCAGTACATGTGAAAATGTTACTCAGTGGGCACGTCTACACAAGATGCTGTGTTGCTGTAGCAACAAGCTACGGTGGCGTAGTATCAGCGGACATTAACTGTGATGCTGCTGCTACTGCTCAGTAGCAATGAGCTGTGCAGTAGCTCATTGCTACTGTGTAGTAGGGTCAAAAACAACCTGTGCATCACTGGGACTGTGCAGTACTGGCTGGAACTGCTAAATCAACTACTAAATAACTGTGCAATACCAATTGTGCAATTAGGGACACGTGTAGACATGCCCAGTATGAAATATCATGGGACTTTCTTCTCATATCACTGCCCTGCCCTTTCTTTGTCTTTATTCACTGCAGGAAGAGACAGAGAATGAAAGGAAGAAGGTTCTGTCTGAATTTGAGTCCTTGCATCAGTTCCTGGAGGAGAGAGAATTGTTCTTTCTAGCCCAACTGGAAGTGCTAGACAAGGAGACTGTGAAGAAGCAGAATGAATATACCACGGGGCTTACCCAGGAGATAACTCATCTCAAAAACTTGATCAGTGAGATGGAGGGGAAGTGCCAGCAGCCAGCAAGTGAATTCCTGCAGGTGAGATGAAGACAGAGCCATTAACAAGAAATTCCTCGCCTGTTGGCTGGTGGAGCCCATGATCATAATACGGTTCAATGTTGGAACAAAAACAGTTGGTTTGTTAAGGACTTGATGCTACAAGGGGCTGAGCACTGGTCCAGAATAGCATGTCACCATGTGTGTTTCCTCATATTCGTAGACTGTAAGGCAAGAAGGTATTGTCATAATCATCTGATTGTTTTCCTCCTGTAAAATATAGGTCAGGGAATTTTACTTGGGGCCTCCTGTATGAAACCCATGTTCACTGGTTAATTAGAGCAGAACTTTTTTAGGAAGACATTCTATCTTGATTTAAAGGAAGAGTGTGCGTGACAAATTCCACCACACCTCCTAAGCAGCTTTTCCAGGGGCTCTTTCCTTTATGTTAACATGGTGCATCTTATTTCCAGCCTGAGTTTGTCTACTATCCAATTCCAGTCACTAGACCTTCCTCTATTCTTATCTATTGCAGTAAGCAGTCTTTCAGGGTGAGAAATCCTTTTTCTGAGTGGGCATTTGAAGTGGAGACCCTTGTACAGTTAAAGTAAAGCCCTTTACTAGAGGGTTCAGATTTGTGTTGGAGTTGAACCCAAAATAAAGGAACAATCTTCTCTTAAGGTCTGTTCTGGCTATCAGTCAGGGCAACAGAAATCTTTTATTTTGTTGGAAGCTGGAACAGATCTTTCTTATGATATGTCACATATAAAAGCTGGTTCCAGAATGCTTACCTCCAGCCCTGAGATGTTACAGTACAGGGACACATTTCAATGACAGGCAGCATGCAATGACCTAGCCAGGTCCACAGCTCAGCTTGGTTTTAATGGCATTAGAGGTAACTCAATCAATAATTTCCTTTCTTGTCCAACTGACTTCCATGCTTTGTTTCAATTGGCTGGACTGAATCAGCAGCCTGAGTAGAGGCAGATACAGGTTGTTCTCAGTGGTATATTACTTAGCCCACAACCTACAGAATAAATTCTGACTTCTAGCGAAGCTTTGGGAAACTCCTGTTCAGATCCCTGACAGACCACAAAAGCATCTTGTTTTCTAATATGCTGTCATCTTACTTTTGAGATTTAAATGGGGGCGGAAAAAAGACAGGGAGGGAGCGAGCAAGTGGATCCATCCACTTTTGGCATGAACTGCTTGTTCAGGACTTGAGCATGGTGGAATACAATGCCATTTCATTTATTTATTAGAATTATATCCCACCCTAGCTAAAAGGCTAGGAGCAGCTTGCAATAAACAAACAATTTAGATGGCTAATAGATGGAATAGGCTCTACACAGTTGAGCCTTTTTTTTTTACCCACCACCACCACCAGTATTTCCTTGTAGACAGTCTTACATGTGTGGTGCTGCCTCCAGCTAAAAGGTACAAGGTGCGAGAGTATTAAAGTGGCAAGAAAGGCCTGGTCCAGCAAAGTATATAGGCACCTAATTCACATGTAGGTGCCCCAACTCCCATGGAAGTCAATGGGATTTAAAACACCTAGGTAGAAGTTGGGTGTATAAGTAACCATTTTTTTTCTGCCTGCAGTGACTTAGAAGCCCACACCCATTTTACAAGCTTATTCAGGCATTTTCAGGGATCTTAAGGCCCATGCACTGTTAGTGAGGCTCAGGCTCTTAAGTACACCAGAGGCAAGTTTTCAAAGGCACTTCAAGGTGCACCTTGGTATTCAGTGAGATTATCAAATGCTCCCAAACATGTTAAGCACTGTAGAGCTGGAGGGTCCTCAGTGTGGCATATAGCACTAATCTTACTTTATCTCTCTCTTCCCCTCTAGGACATCAGAAATACCTTGAGCAGGTATGTGATTCCTTCTTGCTCACCCTCCCAGTTCATGATGCTGGGGAGGGGCTTAGGCACCAGTTGAGGGACTGAGAGACTTGTCTTCTCAGGATCCAAAGTGGAAGAGCACAGAATAGTCTCCACCTAAAGTTCCTAATTTTCCTCCATCCCCATAGTCCTGGGTTTGCTTCTGTTTCCCCAGAGTTCCCAGGGGCCCTGCTTGAGGGGGACTGCGATATACCTGCAGATACGCTATTAATAATCCACTCCTCTGAAGGTCCAGTTGACTCAGGAGATCAGGGATGGTTTATGGATCATTCACCTACCAATTTTTCTATATGTCAAAGTAGCAGAGGCTACCTACCCATCATGGCACTAGCTATCTTTCATGACTGACCTATGGGTATTGGGACTACTTGCTGCCCATCCCCAAGATAACTTCTGAGTCAATGATTCCAGGCTCTATTCCATGCAAAGTCGTTGCCATCTGAACACTGAGTGCTGCATTTATTCTCTCCTGTCATCATTGTCAGTGTGGTCAGCACATGGCACAAAGCAAAAAAGAGGCCTTTCTCTAGCTCCATGAATTTAAAACAAGCCAGGAGTCAGGGTGCCATATTTATTCATGAAAACAGGTAACTCCATGCTCCTGTTGTAAAGGGGTCAGCAGGTCTCAGAAGAACTGATTGGATTATGGAGACAACATAGTCAGGCATGCAGCTGAGGCACTTTAGTGGGGCAGCATCCTGGGAAGAGCGCAGTATCACTCTGTGGCTCCACAGAGAACAGACCGACCAGATCTCCAACAGGTGGAAAGGAGCATCAGTTCTTTAGTGCCAATGACTCCAAACTCTCTGTTGGTGTAAATTGACTGGTCCTGCCCTTCAGACTATAACTCCAGAAAACTCCATGGGGCAGGATTCCCATCTGTTGCGTTTCACTCATAGTGCTGCTAGAGCCAGTTTGGCCAGGCTGACCAGCTGGTGGAAATCAGTGTTGCTCTATTGGGTTGGGTGAGACTAAATTCCCAGCTTCATAGGTCCAATGGAGTTGATGGGGCTGGCCCTGAGCTGGGGTACATCAGCATAGCGCAATGTAAATGGATCCTGATCCCTGCAGGTGTAAAAGAGGTCAGATCCCAGGTGGTGTTAATTAACTTGGCCCTGGCAAAGCTTAGCCCCTGCTGTTAGAAACTGCTATTATGGCAGTGGGGTTTAACAGCACACTGTCAGTTTAATATAAACCTCTAGATATAGACAAAGGGATTCCCTTCTATTAAAATAAAATTCAATTAAAATAACTAAAATTAAAATAAAATCCTATTAAAATAAAATTTAACTTAAGACAACCCCTCCAAATCCCAAGAACAAAGTCACATCCATCCCATCTCTACTTATGCTATGTTACTTTGACCTCCCAGCCTGATCCTTTTTTTTGCAGCTTTGCACTAAACAACGATATGATGAGTATAACTGATTCTTTTTATCAAAATCCTTTAAAATGTTCTTGACATTTCAGTTTTTCTTTAAAAACATGGGATTTTTTTCAATGTAAAAAGGAACCACTTCTCACCCCCTGACCTCTACCCCACTCCCACATCTTTTTCTTCAAGCCTGTTAAAATGGTGAATAACAATCAGGTAACTTTCTGCCTAGATGTGAAATGGGGAAGTTTCAGAGTCCAGCAGCCCCCTTTCTGGACCTGGAAAGGAGAATCAAGGGATTTTCTGAGAAGCACACACTGATGGAGAATGCACTGAGCAGTTTCAAAGGTGATCGAACTGGGGGCTGGTTTTTATTGATACTGATGTACCGAGTATCAGGCCCCTGTTGTGCTAGTTGCTTTAGGCTGTTAGAGCTTCAAGTGTGCCTGGCTTTACATGCTCAGACAATGAAAAAGTGCTCCTCAAAGAGCTTGCAGTCTTAGGCTCCCAGGTTTTCAGGAGAATCCTGAGTACTAGTTGATCCTGCAGTGGCTAATGTGAATGCAGCTCATGTAGATGAACCTAAGTGAGGTTTAAATTAGCTAGCACAGGCACTGCTGGAGGTGTAATTGCAGCAGCATAGAGCTCAGCATGAGCTGCAAAACCTGCCCTGAGAGCTGGTTAAATACTTACTTAAACTACCAAGTTCTGTGCTGCACTGTTAGCAATACCCCAGCTAAGTAGCTTAAAGCTAGCTGGGGTCAATCTGCATTGGCTGTAATTAAAACAGCAATTGCAAGTAGATGCTTTGGGAAGAGAAATTAGCTGTATGTTCTCTACTTTACAGAGTGGCCTGTTTTTCCCCATTAAAGATCAGCTTCCTACGCAGGGTGGGGGATCTATCTCCAGGCCCAGAAGAAGTTTCTTTTTCCCAGTGGGAGGTCTCCATGCCAAAGAACTCATGCTACTGTTACTTCCCAAAGCCTGTGCCTGCTGCAATGGTTGGAGATGTAATATGTTATTTTAATTGTGATAAAGCCTGGTGACTTTAATAATGAGTGAGGGTCCCTTATGCCAGTTATTGTACAAAACAAAACATAACTCAAAGAAGCCATTCCT